CACACGATTAGCAAGGGAAGTTAAGGTGACTGTCTTTATTTTAGTGTTTCATATCAAATGCATAAAAAGGAAAACGTTAAAATGTGTCTGTATTTGAATGTTCCTAAATACCAGATTCTGACTGTTAAAATCAGTTGAATAGAAAATATTTGTCCTAATTCAGTAGTACTTCAAGAGTACTTCAAAAATAGAAGTTAATTGTCTCTAAGGGACCATACAGAATTTCTGCATTGTTAGGGCTTGAGTGGGTTTTCATGGAATTTTCTTTTCTGGTTCATGGGAATCATGAACTGTTCCAGCAGTAGCAATGCAAACACTTTACTTTAGGAGAAACTGAATTCTAAGTTTGCTGGACTTCAACTCTTTAATGATGACTCCTATATCCTAGCTATAAGAAGGAATACTACAGTTATCCTACAGGTTGATTGTAACTGCTGCCAAGCTACAAATGTGTGATTCTCATATACTTCATTGGTAATTAAACAGTCTACAGCTCAAAATATTTTGTACCTAGCTCAGGAATGTGTTGGTTTTTTTTCTTTTCGTATGAGTATGTGGTACAGTTGCTAACAGAAAATATTACAAGTATAAATTTACTCAGCAGGCAAGGAAGATGGTCCTGGAAGGTTAGTATCTTTGAATTTGACACATTCTGCACCAGTAACTCTGTTTTCTTGGTGTTGTGTACTTCAGTTTAATCAATCTGGACAAGTTCATATAGGTTGACCGGGAGCACAAATCACAAAGTCTGGAATTCTGGATAGCTGCATTATTCTTGGTGATAGGTCTTCCTCAGAGTCCTTGTACACCATCTAAAGAATGTGTTATTGCCTGTTTTGTGAAGTATACTGTATGTAATGTTTCATAAAAGCAAGGCTACTTTCATATATAAATTTTTGGGTTTACTCTATGTGTTCATTCTTTGTACTTCTTCCTTCCTTCTTCCTAAGTAACTGTGGAAAGTAGATTTGTCCTGGTTGATCAGACCACTTATTTTCTGTCAATAGTGAGAAAGTGAGGCTGTGAAAAAGGCTGCTTGAGAGTTAGTAAGACAGTAATTTAGTTTATCTTACGTAGCTGTAATTTTATAAGAACTTTCCTAATGAATTAGTCAGAGAACTAAATAGTCAGATATGATTCAGGTTAGTAGAATCCAGGCAACTTCTGCTTTCTATTTGGGGAATATCAGTGTCCACAGTAATATGAATCAGCTGTGTGGGCTTTGTGACACACATCTGAGAAACTATTTAGTGGTCAAGTCCTCCAGACCCGATGCCTGTATTTATGTGCCTGTTGTTCATCATATCACCATCTCTAAGCAGAAAGGAAATCCCTTGTTAGTCAGCAGCAGCGGACATCACGTGGAAAGCCATTTAGAGATGAAAACGTTACCTGCTTCAGAAAAACTGTGATTCTTTGAAATTACTTCCAACACATTACATGTGTTTTTATGTACTTAGCTGCAAAGTGCTCCTTCTTTGATGTCCTGTACTGATGGCAAAATTGTGGGAGACTTTAGCTTGCTCTGTTCTATGTATTTCAGTAATGGAGAGTCAAGGGGAGAGCAGGAGGTATCCCAAGACTACAAGATCCTGCTGGTCAGCCTAATCTAAAACTACATATCTGGCATATCTGTCTAGCAGGAGTGTACTCCTGAAGTTGAGCTGAAGATGTGCAGAGCAGGAAACAGGCCCTTTTCTTTATATTGCTTTATATAATATTTTCTAACTTTTGTTTCACCTTCTTGTGGGTTTAGTTTAGGTATATAATGTTACAAAGTTTAGTTTCTTGTGTTGAAGTTTTCAGTTTACCTGTTGGTCGTTCTACCTGTATAATGTCTTGAATGGCTTTTGCTTGGGACATGTTTTGTATGCAAAATGGAAGTGTCTTTACAGAATATGCAGCATGTTTTACAATACAATAGATGCGTGGAGTAACCTTTTATGAATTCATTAATGAACTGTCTTATTATTTAGTGTTCTTCATATTCTGCAGTACAGTTTGATGTACTGTGGTAGCTCAGTGAAATTCTCTGACTAAAGTTTAATGCTGCTTGTTACTTAGTCTTTTTAACTACTTCTAACAACAACATTAATCTTTCTATATACATGGTCTACCCTTGTCTGTGTGTTGTACACTTACATTTAGTTTAGTTGTTTCTTTTTTATATATATATATATAGTTCCTTTTTGACTTCACTCTGCAACTCATGATTGCACATTGATAAACCTGTACGAGACCTAGAATTTAGCAGTAATGATTAGTAGTGCAGCAATTGCCTGAAATTTATATTTTCTTATTCAGAGTGTGACAAAAACGTGGAATGTTAAAGAAAAGAAAACCTCTAGGCTTCTTGGCAAAGCTTTAAATATTTTTTATATCACTCATAGCAAATGACCCTTATCACGTAGGATCATTTTGGAGGCTGACCTGTCTGTTTACGTAATTTATTGTTCCTGAAATTTGAGTGCATAAACTCAGTTAAGCCTACAGGGCATTATTTGTCAAACATCATCTCTGTTTTTGTTATGGGCTCAACAGTTTTGGCAGTTGTGTATTAAAGTTATTAAAGTGCCTCTTGTGCTACAGAATATTAATATTCCAAGAAGCTTTGCCCTTGGTTACAAGTTCTAGCCTAGAAACTCAGTTTACAGTCCTGAGCAATTGCTAACTTATTTCTGTGTTACTTTTTTTTGATGCTTCACAACACATTAAAAGGATTAATTTCTCCAATTCATTTGAGAGATATGCACTGAGCTATTACAAAGAATTTGTATTTTGCCTTTCATTCATTGTCAGCTTCCATGTCAGATGATCCTTTAAAATTAATATCCCTGGGAAGCGATGATTCTAACATACTTTATCAAGCTGCTTTTTCCCTCCTTGAATTATTAATTTTTATTAGTTCCTTATAGGAATGCTGGCTGTAGTTCTTGAAACCAAGCTGGTTTATAAATACTTATTTTCTAAGTTTCACTTCTATGTGTAATAGTCTGCTTGAATTGCACCTTACTAATTCTGGAACTCCCTTATCTTAGGGAAAGTTTTCTGCCTTGGAGTACTGCAAAGTCATGCAGATAGTGCTCAAGATACTGTTTGCCAGTCTCTGATAACTGGAACCTTCATACAGGCGGTAACTGCTGGGAACTGCAGTTAACAATGACTCAGGCAAATTATTTGTGCTCAGGCAAATTATTTTCCATTTACTTACGGCAAAGGCATACTCCTTTAAGAGAAGGACTAGCTGTGTCAGCCAGCAAGATTGCAAGAACTGTTTGTCAAATTAGTTGTGTTGACGGGGTTAAACAGTTTCTGTCAGCAACCTGGCCCTGCTGCAAATGAGAGTTACCTTTCCACATAACTACGAAGAAGTGAATAGAGAAAGAGCAGATTTTACTCCTAGTCATCTGTTTCCTGTGCCTTCTGTGGTAGATGGCAAGTATAATGGATACCTTGAGCCCTTTTAAGTCACCGGAAGAGCTTGGTGTTGCAAACAGTCAGTAATCTCTTTTGACATGGAAATTGATTCAGGTAATCACTATTAATCGTGATCTAAACCAGCAACCAAGGAACTTTGGTTTAAAGCATCTGTTACAATATTGAAAAAGCATTGCAATGTTTTTGTTCTTTTCTTAAAGACACTTGGATTTTCATTAGTTGTTAATCATAAAAGCATGTCAATTTACAACTAAAATAACCTTCATTTAATTGTATATTTTGTTTGTTACCCAGTGAGGGACTATAGGTCTGTATACTAATTGTAATGCTGATGTGCACAAACATTTTTAATTGGATTTTTTTTCAAATGAAATTATCTGAAGTATCTCTGTCACGAAGAAAAAAGGTAAACTAGGTGGCACAATTTCTAAAATTAAGAACTAACTAATTCAGTATGAACAGGAAGTATTATTTGTAATTAGTACATCAAATTAATCACTTTTGTTATATTACCCTTCTAGATTTTAAAAGGAAATAAGTCACACTTCATTTTCATTTATATGTTGACAAAAGTTTTTTTTTCCTATTTCAATTTCCAACTAAGACTGAATGAACTGGTCTTTGGATACAAGTAGCTGGAACATGAAAACAAAGAAAATATTTTTTTTAGCATCTGCAGAAAAAGCTACTGCTATCAAGAGCTGGCTTAACATTTCCACAAGCTGTACACCCAAGCGTCCAGCTAATAAGTTGCTTTTGACCATCTTTGAAACTTCAGTAGCAACAACATACTATTGAAATATTGTTTGAGTATAGTTTAAAATTGATAGTTTGTGGTAAATGCTGTATTAAATATAATTAAAGCTGTAATATACAAGTTCATTTCTCAAGTGAAAGTGCATTTTTTATAGAACTTTGAGTTGGTGATGAAGAAGGATGAAGAGAACCTAAACTTGCCGAAGCTGAAGGGCAGTCCTTTAGGCTTAATGTTTAAATGGCTCTCCCCTGTCAGAACACTGACGATGAATTACGTACAGACCACGCCTCTGGAGCCTCTCGTGTGCTGGCAGCACGTGCATCTGTTTGCCAGGCTGAAGGCTTTCCCACCTCCATTAGTCTGTTAGGTGCTGCTTTACAGGAGAAAAGGGACAAGAGTGGTGGCCACTCTTGCCAGTGGTGGTCTGGGAGTGTTAAGGCACAGAGCTAGCATCACCAGTGATTATGATGAGACACCTGCCTTTGAACTGGGACTGTTTATATAAGTGCTGTTTCTAAGTACCCCTGTTTACTGTTTGTCTAGCTCTGCTGTCCATGTCCTTGAAGTTTACTTTCATATTTTTGTAAAAAGTGAGCCAAAGCCAGACAAAAAGACTTGCAAACCTATTCAACCACAAAGATTTTTTTTTTTGCCAAAGCATTGCCGATCCGTCAATTTTTAGTCACGGTTTGTTTGATGTCACTTTTTCCCCATAGTATGACTGTACAATGAACAAAATGTAATGAAACAGTGTTTCAGAGATGTCCTTTATGAGGCTGGTGTTAACTGATGCTTTCTTTTTCAGCCAATCTGCCTGTACCTACTATTGCTGCAATAGATGGAACTGCCTTAGGTGGTGGCCTAGAACTTGCATTAGCCTGTGATATACGGGTGGCAGGTAGGTATGAATCCTGCTTTTAGAACATAGAATTATTAGTGTTACAGATGGCTTGACTAATCCATCTGTTGGCAACAGTCTTATAAAAAACTCACTTGGTACTGGGCATTGTTTATAACCTGTTGTTTTAAAGGACTTCAGCAGAAACCTGTCTAAGTACTTGCTAATGCTTCATTTCAAACACCACTGATAGCTGGATTGGTTTTATTACATGTTTATTTTATTCTTATGATCCTCATTTTATCAGTATTGCCAGAAGGGTTATGCCATTATTTTCATTATTTTATTTATTCTTACGAATTTGGAGTGCTCTGAATGGAGATTTGATTTTGTCTAAACAGGGTGCAGGAAAAAAGCAAAAGTTGCTAGTGAGAGTCTTATTACACAAGAAATTAAATTACAAAAGTGACAACAACACTTGAAAAGGGGAGCTTTTAGCTAATAGGCTGTCAGAACTGTAAAGCCAATTGATGGAAAGTAAATGGAAACTTTGTCCTGAACTCCTACCAGAAACTTAGGGTTTATAAAGCTATTTGACCTTAGAGAATATTCTACCACCTCAAGAATTCAAATAATCGGATACAAAATTCTACCCCATTTTAAGATATTAAGTAATAACAGCCTCTTTCCTTTGGTATTCTACATTTGGAAGCAAGTCTCTAATTCCTTACTTGCTATATGAAAATCAATAAGGTGCAGAACTTGCCTTGATGGAAGTAGTTGGATCTCTTACTAATGGCAGATCAGTTGAATATATTTGAAGATTTTCATAAACAAATGCTTTTTAAAGTGATTTATTGTTATTTTTCAAGGAAACGTAATAAATTAACAAACTTGTCGGTCATATATAATATTACATATTTTCCATAGATTTTTACCTCCTATAGTTATGGTAAGAACTCCTTCACATTTTGTTTTTTAGCCTCTTCTGCTAAAATGGGCCTAGTTGAAACGAAGTTGGCAATCATTCCAGGTGCAGGTATGAGTGTTCTTCTTTTACTACTGCAGATAACTAAATAACACATGCTCTTGGTATTAGATTTTAAATTATTTTTTATTAATTTCTGCTTATTTTTTTATTTGCATTAAGGATCATAGTATGTTTTCCAGCTTATTGCTGATATTGTTTAAAAAAATTAATTAAAAGGTGTACTTCTGAGTTTCAGGGAGGAGGACTTGCATAATATATTTTTTGACAAAGTCTTCAGTAAATAAGTCAATATTGAGTGATTCTATAAATGACATTTGATGTCTTGATCTGAAGGCTGAATAGTTTTCTTAAGGGTCAGGTGAGATAAAAAACTGTCAGTGTACAAAAGCAGTGATTTAAATAATGATCCACTTTTACGTAACATTTGGTGCTTTAGAATTCAAATTCCATTTTCATGCTGCTTTTAAACTGGCTATAAAGAGTTTAAGAACTGAAAGTATAGCTGTGAATAAATGTCAACATTTTTAGAGATTGTTGGAGTCAAACATTTTTTTATATTTTGAAGGCCAGTTGAGGCTTTTCCTGGACTCAGGGCGAATGAAAGTTGTGTAATGACTAATGTTCAGGGAGGTATTTGTGTTACAAAACCTTTTGGGTTTATTTTGTGTGTAAATCGTTTTACTTGAATTAAGATATTTGCTGATGTGGGAAAAGGGCAATAATTAAAAGAAAAGTACATTCCTTTGACTTTTAGCCTTAATTTCTGGAAGTTCTAGGGAACTCTGTTCTGTTTCTTTGCTCCTATTTTCTTTATAACGTCTGAAACCTATTTTGAAACAGTATGTCTAAAAGACACCTTTGCAGGTTGTGTGGGAAGAACTGTAAAAAAAAAAAAAACACATAATGAGAGCATTGGTATGAACTTTATGTACAAAACTCTCCCATCCTCTGACTAGTCTGGACCATTATTGTACAATTTCGAATGCTCTATTATTATGCATATTGTTGAGATGTGATTTCAGTCAATACTTTCTGTGGTCTCAGCTACATTTTACATAAGGAAAACAGAGTTGTGGTTGAAGACTGGTCTCTTTTTAACAGTGGATAAAGATAATAATGCAGGTGATTTTAAAGATGTGTTTCCTTGTAGTGGTGTTGTCTTGAAGTAACATGCCTTGACAGTAAGTCCCAGTGAAGAAAAAAAAACTAAAGTTTATGTTGTTTATCTTTACTGTAAATTTTTCCCCTTGGTCCTTCCACTTCATCTTCTAAGAAATTCTGCAGGACAGTATTGGAGACATACACTCCAGTTCTAGAAAGCCAGGTCAATATATGGAGAAAAAGTTAAAAATTATTCAACTTTTGTAGGTTGTCTTGTTTCCCTGTCTTCAGTTAATTATAGATGTTTCAAACTTGTATGCTCTTACCTTAAAATGCTAGGTAACTGACTCATAATGAGTTTCATTCAGAATATTTTACTGCTATTCAAAGACTGAGGTTTGAAAAATCTTTCTTTTTTTTTTTCCTCATCCTAAAATGATGAATCTGGCATATGTCTTCATGTCCTTGAAAACACGACAGATTTCGCCATGTTACCTTGCCTTTTAAACTGAAAACATTTTGGGTCATGTTCAAAGATGATTTTTCCATGTTCGTATCAACCTTTCTTACGACTGTTTTTGCCGACTGCATTCGACCTCATCACAACCTCTTCCCGTTCAGCCTGTACTTGCACCAGCCCCGTTCGGTTGAGCAATCAGAGTGTTTAAACCCTTCTAGTCAGAGTGTTTCAACCCTTCTAGTTCTTGTCATCCGAAGAGTAACCGATCATGCTTTTTGTCGCCGGAAAGTGAAGACTGAGTGAAGGAATTTTGCATATGTCATTTAGGTAGAGAAGCCAGATGTGCACACTTGAACCAAAGTTTCATGGGTTAATGTAGTATTTTCTTGTGGTGTTTACTTCAGGCTATTCTGAGCCAAAACGACTGGGAAGTGCAGCTGCAAAGTGAGCTGGAACCATTTAAGAGGCCTCCAAAGATTTCTGCTACCTTCTAGCACACCTGAAACCCACTGACAAAGTGTGTTGCTTCTTTGGACTAGGTCCCTACACTGTGGCAAACTATTTGTTTTATTCTGTTCTGTGAGCTGCCAGGAGTATGTGACTGTAAGGAGATGAAAACATTTTAACTTGGGTGATAATTAATGTGGGTGTTTGAGGCTATATGAAAAACTTGTTTATTTGGGAGAGGTCTGCTTTTTAAAGCCCTAGAACTTTACAATTGAAAATACATTGTTAGAAAAATGTAGGTTCAGGGCATATCAGCAGTCATATCTTGGACCTTGTTGTGTATTATGTGTTACTCCATCCTAGTTTGAAATGTGGTTATCAAAAGACCTAGTGAGGTGCTGTCTAGGGACCAACCAGATTTAACACAAATGGCGTCACCTTGAATATTGTGTGCAGTTTTGGTCATCACAATATAGGGATGGTATTAGGCTATTAGAGAGTGTCTAAAGGAGGGCCATGAGGATGGTGAAGGGTTTGGAGGGGAAGCCGTGTGAGGAGCGGCTGAGGGCACTTGGTGTGTTCAGCTGGAGAAGAGGAGACTGAGGGGAGACCTCACTGCAGTTAAAACTTCCTTGTGAGGAGCAGAGGAGGAGCAGGCACTGATATCTTCTGTGTGGTGATCAGTGACAGGACCCAGGGAGTGGCCTGAAGTTGTGTCAGGGCAGGTTTAGGTTGGATATTAGAAAAAGGTTCTTCCCCCAGAGGGTGGTTGGGCACTGAACAGGCTCCCCAGGGCAGTGGGCACAGCACCAAACCTGACAGAGTTCAAAAAGTGCTTGCACAACACTCCTGGGCACATGGTGTGACTCTTGGAGATGGTCCTGTGCAGGGCTGAGAGTTGGATTTGATGATCCTTCTAGATCCCTTCCAACTCAGCGTATTCTGTGATTCTGTGAAATATCCCAGGTACAAGAAATTTTTGCTTTTGAATAAGCACAGAACTACTGCAACCTTCTAAAGGCTAAGTTTGAGTGGTGGTTAGCTGAATTTTAGTGAACCAAGGTGAATCATTCGTTCTACTGAGGGTCTCAGTAGAAGGCCTGCTGAGGGTCTCAGCCAAGCAGACATGTGTAGAGCATGTTGTGTTGGCGATAGTGCGTTGTTGAGAAGGTTGAATCTCCTCAGAAAATACATCCATGGCAGACAGCATAGCCAGACCAAGTGGGGTGACAGCAGTGCCTCATTTCATACAGTAGCTCTTTTCACAGAGCAGCTGTTCAGGTTGTGAGGGAGCAGGATTATTCTTATGCCTTTGGATACTTAAATCCGCTGTGGAAAAATCTCCACTGTGGAAAAAAGCTGAACTGCCAGCAGGTGAGCTAGAGAAAGTAACTGTTTTTCCTCTTCGGTACATCCCACTGTCTAGTAAGAAAGTCAGGATTCAGAGAACTAGTGGAAGTGTGTAACAGAGAGAAAATTGCTTGGTGACTTGATGATGGAAAGGTTACCTGAGAATGAATATTGATGATTTTTCTTTTCTTAAGAAAGTCTGCCAATCACCTTTTTTTAACGAGTTCCAGTAAAGCTTCCTGTTCAGCCAGGCTGGTCTTCTTTTCCATTGACTCTTCTTTTGGCACATGAGGACAGCCTGCTCCTGTGCTCTTAGGATCTTCTTGAAGAATGTCCAACCTTCCTGAGAACCTTTGCCCTTCAGGACTGCCTCCTAAAAGACTCTGTCAGCCAGTCTCCTACACAGGCCAAAGGCTGCCTTCTGGAAGTCCGAGGTGGCAGTTCCATGACCCATTTCCTTACTGCTCCAAGAACTGAAAACTATCATTTCACGGTCACCTGTGCCCCACATGTGCCCCTCACATCATCCTTCTCTGTTCACAAACAGCAGTGGGGCACCTTGCCTCTTCCTTCATGTACTGTGTCAGAAAATTATTTTCCACATAGTCCAGGAATCTCTTGGACTGTTTCTTCTCTGCTGTACTGTACTTCAGGGTGTATATTTGTCCATCCCCCTCTCTTCCTCAGTTTTCTTGCCTATAAACTTGGTGTCTCTTAGCCCGTTGTGGTCTAATTTGTGGCTTAGAGGCTACAAAAAAAGAGGCAGTCCCTAGAATTCTATTACAAGTAGGTGGCCAGATGAAGGGAAAATTTTATTGTCCTCAGATGAAAACGTTTCAGCATGAACTAACCTATTCTTGGGCATGAAAGAAAGAGCACAGGAGGGAGGTGCCTTGCATGTCTTAGCTGTGGATAATGTTTCAATCAGAATACTCATCTCACTGGATAGCAATGAGTTTATATGAGACAGGATTTCGTGAGAAACCAGAGTTCATTAGCTTTGGAGTTTAGGGAGATGCTTGTTATCTGTCAGAGTAACTTTTCTCAAAGCTGTTCATTGCTAAAAGAGTTATTATTTTTTCATCTCTTAGTCAAAAAGCTGTTTAAACAACTTATTTCCATGTAATTCTGTGTCTGTACAGAACTCAACATAATGAAGGAAAAGTGTTTTTTACACACAAAAAAATGTTTTCCATCTCTTTGTTGTTATTTCCCAAACTGAAGTAAAAAGAAAGCAAACATCTGTCATTAATTGAATGTAGTTTTTGGTGTCTCTCAACTTGCAAAGGAAGTGTTTTTCAGTGACAAGTTTCTCTATAGCCAAAAATTGTCTTTTGGAGAATTAGTTTGTTGAAGTCCTTTGTTTTTCTGCTTTGTAACTTTTTAAAACTGTCTCCATCCATGAGGTGTTTCTGTTGTTTATCTCTAGATTTTCACAATGGATGTCATACTAAGTGTGCAATTGATAGATGATGCCTTGCTGGCAGATCTGCCAGATCTTTTATTTGTTTGTATCACATTTATGTACCATTCAGTAAAAGATCTCTTGTGGGAAGACAAAAATGCTTGTAAAAAACATACATAATCTTTCTACTCTGTTAACAGAGTGAGATTATGTTAGTTGGACAAGGGAAGGTATTCTGTGATAACAAGAAATGGGAAAGACAAGTGTATATATAAAAAATAATTT